AGACATTTGCTAGATAAACTGAATTTTTTAGTGAATAGTTATTTGAGTATTTATGTAGATAGCTATAGATCATAGCACTGTATTTAAGCTAATAACAGGGACACTTTTAGCCAGTTTCTTCTGCTTTGATAAAGGCAATGTTTATTGTCATAAGTAAGTCAACATTATATATTTTTCAAATTTGTGCAATACTGAGTGAGTCAAGGGAAACTAACAAACAAAAAATAAAAATACATTTTCAGACATTGTAATATACCAGAAATGTAGGTAAGGAATGAGAGAAGTGAGAAGCAAATGAGGCTAATGCTCAAATAAGCATGATGCTACAGTAGTTGGCTAAGTGAAGGAAATAAGTTGGAAGGGTGGACAAACAAAGCCACATTTCTAAGTTAATGTGCTTGACAACCACAGATATTTTAAAGTGGCTAGGGAATAAATGCTTTTACAATACAAAATTAATAAACAGATGTGAGTAGCATGCTGATGGAGCAATCATCCTTGTGCAACCAGATCCAAGAAGTCAGAAAGGAGGAAAGTTGCAGAAAGATATGCCTATCCAGATTACAAAGATTAGATTGTCCTAAAGACTCAACGAAAAAGTCTGTAGGTGACTTATTATATAGGATAGAAGTTGCTAACACATAACTTTAATACATTCATGTAGACTGTATCATCCTCACAGAAAACACAAGAAATTATCAGAAATGCAGTGAGAGGCAAACAATTGGTTCCCAGCTCTACTTTGGTAAACCTTCACCACAGAAGAAAACTACTCAGTGATACCACCAAGATTTTTAATGACTGTGTTAATCACATTTGCTTTTACTGAAATGAAAATAACAGATACTTTTATAGATGAAGGATCCAGTTTATTAATTAATCAAATGGTTTGACTTAGTTATGACAAGAAAGTATGGAACAACAGCCAAGTTCACGGCAGTAGATCAGGAAGGAAAATGTGCGAGACAGGAAGCAGGAACCAATTTTAATCTTCCATGCCCTGACCAAGTGAGCTACTTCTGCCTGCTACATCCCAATTCCTAAAGATCCCAAGAATTCCACCAGTTGGAGAGCAAACATCCAAGCCATGATCTCATGGAGGACATTTCAAATTCAAATCATAACACAGGATAAGGGGATTAAAGGAACATTTCAGAAATTGAAGTCCTATATGATGTGGAAATCAGAAAAGGTAACAGATCACTGAATGGATGATATGATGGAGTTCAAAAAGATGCAGAGCTGTAGAACTTGTCAACATACCTAGAGGTAGCTTAGTAACTGAGGTTATACCGTATGGTCTCTTAAGGAAGTCATTTAATTTCCCATTTTCAAGAGGTTGGTAGCGTGTATGAAACTAGTATCTCTTCTATTTTGTTGGTCTTTTGTCAGAGAAATTTCAGTGGAACACTTGGTTATCCATAACCAGTTCTTCTGGAAACAATAAAGAAAAGGGGCATTTATCATTTGGTTCCCAATGAATATACAGAACTAGTTTGCATCTATCATATCTAACTAGATGAAATCATTACTAGATGGCAAATTTGAATTTATAAATTTATTTAAAAAATAATGTGGGAAAAATTAGAGAATATATTTCGGTGATAACTGCAGTATTTAGATTATTTTATTGGCTTTCCTATAGAACACATATATACAAGTTATTGAAAAATTGGTGAAGTATATCCCAAACATACTTTAATTGTTGTTTTTGTTATTGTTTTGGAAATAGTGTCTCCTGCCCCAGGGTGGCCTTAAAATTTCTATGTATGTAACCAATAATGACACTGAGTTCTGATCCCTGTCCTGGACCCTATACATATCCTATCACACTTAGTTTACTATATACAAATTTTATATTAGAATTGTTTTTACCTTGAAGATCATTTCATTCTGTTTACAGATCAATAAATCAAGAGAAAAAAATAAAAGGCACAGTAAATGCGCAATGAACTTGTTGCATTCTGATTATCAAACTGTCCTATTTTTGCTTCAGAAATGTTTCTTAAAATATATTTAAATACTAACATACATTTAGTAATAATCAAGAAGTTCATAGTTTACCTAAATATATCCAGCTCATGGGGGTTGTATAATACAGTTCTTTGTATAGCGTTTTATAGTTACGATAACTATAAATTATAGTGGAAAAGTTTGATTAGTGTCTGATAGTAATATAAGACATCAAAATAATTATGTTTACAGAGGTCATCTGAAAGACTCATGAGCTATATAATTTGTAACTCGTAGAAGGTACTAGAAAAAATCAAGAATCTTAGAAATAGTGATTTTTAAACTTAACATTTAAATTCTTAGGGTGTGGAAAAAAAAAAAAAAACACCCTGAGTGAAGTATGAGTGAGAGTGAGCTGTTGTGAGAGTGGGCTGTTTTACATGGTCACTGTCAAGAGAAGAACTCCAATGCCTCAGCCCCAACAGGAACAGTCTTCCTTCAATTCTTATGTCTGAAAATTGACAGTGTGTCCAGAAAACTCCTTCATGACTTTCTCCTTTGCATGTTTCATGCCTGAAGACATTTGCCTGAAGATACTGCACTAATGGATGTTTACTTAATCTGTTTCCTTGATCAAACTGTCTACCATAAACCACGCCTCCTTATCTATTTTCATGTAGTAACACAATTTTCTTGTTCAATTGTATATGACAACCTTCCACACCAATTTTGTTTCCCTTCAGAGACCAGTTTACTCTATACCAATTTTTTGTTCATCTGCATGTCTGTCTTTTCGTCATTGCCTTATTGCTGTAGTCAGGACCATGCCTGGAGCTGTACGAAGATACCGAACTTCTGTATCCTGAAAATATGAAATATGATCTACCAAGCATTTCCAAATGTTTTTGCATGGAGATAAGATGCTGTCATCGACAAAGTTCACAATCTATAAATACAACTGCATTATAAAAATATGGGCCCAAAATATCCCTATTATAAATATTTCTCATAATCTTAATAATTTTTGTCTGTTCCATTTGTAGATACCCCTGTCTGTGCATGGTGGTGTATGTCTCTATTGGTAAAAGCTTGGCTTTGCTGTCTGTACTTTGCTTCCAATTAAACCATTGCTCTTTAACTGTGATACAATAATGAGAGATTTATGACTGAGAGAAGGCCCAATAAGTGTTCCCACACAGAGAGAACATGCCTCCTGCCCTCATCAATAGTCTCTAAGGTATTTTAAAGTACTATAGCTCTTGTTTATAAAGAAAAGCATTAAGAATATATAAACTACAAAGAAGCCTACCGACTCGTGTCTAGATTCCTGAAGTTACCTTTAAGGTATTTTTTACAACATCTTTTAGAATTAATGGTAACTTTACTTTATTTTTATCTTCTTAGTTCTAAATAGATTACAATTCTTATAAACATATGTCTAAATCCTGTGTCATATCAGGGCTTTCTCCAAGGTCAGATCACTTATTTGGAAACTAAACATGGTGGGGAAAATGGCCAATAAAATTTTAGATAAACTGTATAAGAAATGAAATGGTGTGTTTGAGTCAATGTTTATTAACAGACTATGGTGTCTTAAATTAGAAATATGATTTTATTTTTCTTATCAAATTTATCCAAAGAGCACAGTAGAGATAGGTAGAAATTAGATGCATTTTATACATATGGAGTTTTTGTGGACATGGAAGCATGAATGTGACCCTTTTTTATACTATTCTTACATTTCCATTTCCTAACAACACAATAGACAAGATATTTCAGATATATCCAAGAGAAGCAACTATTTTCAGTGAATTAAGTTTTCAAAATTTAAAGCAATGATACTATATATTTAATAAATCTATATAACTGAAGAATTATGATTTTTAATCAAAATTAGATAAATTGCCATTATTAGTATGAAAATTAAATATTTCTCTAAGTTTTCTTTAAGACAAGATTTCACTATGTAGCCTTTGATGGATTAGGTCTAACTATGCAGACCAGTTTGCCCTCGAACTCCAAAAGCACCTCCTGCTTCTTCCTCCACCATTGGTAGAATTATAGCCTTGTTACACCATGCCTAGCTCTTCAAATTCTTTTAAATGGAAATTGTTCCCCATATTCACATATCAATCCATAACATTTCTCATGCATTTTGTAGAGCTTTATTATCTTTTTTCCCTATAGTTCATAAAATTTTATGAAAAGCATTCCTTTTAATAAGTAAAAGGAGTACAATAAATGAGAAGAAAAATTAAAATGTGGGAACATTGTGAACATTAATACCTTTTGGGCTATCACATCTTGAATTCCTTTCCTCTTATATGTTTCTTTATATGAATTTAGTGTGAAGAAGAGGCAGAAGAATTATTCTTTTTGTTGTTGTTGTAGTTTCTTCGAGACAGGGTTTCTCTGTGGCTTTGGAGGCTGTCCTGGAACTAGCTCTTGTAGACCAGGCTGGTCTCGAACTCACAGATACTCACCTGCCTCTGCCTCCCGAGTGCTGGGATTAAAGGCATGTGCCACCAACGCCCAGCCAGAATTATTCTTTAATATAGAAATTATACTTTTATTCATTACTTCATTATTTAATTTGTAAAAGAAAAACATCGTTGCTTTGTTTTTGGATTAAGGTCTCATGTACCCCTGGCTAGTGTTGAAATCAGCATGTAGTAGTCAACAGCAACCTTGAACAAGCTCTATCTTTTTCCCAATTGCTGGGAGCACAGATACGCATAGGTCATTAAAAAACAAAAGACAAAAAACATATTTTAAGTAAAATATTTGCTATTAATTTCTTACAATAGTCTGACATTCATCAAAATTTTCCCAAAGAGTAAAACAGATATACATTAAATGCTACCAACAGTTATCCATAACGCAGAGAAAACTAAGGTACCAAATGTTTTTGCTTATTTTTCACGCCTTTATTTAGTTTCTGGGGCCAAATACTGAGCGATGCTGTTTCTGAGGCTTCTGATAAGAATGTGTCACCTTGGAATTCTAGTTTTATATTCTAGAATGCCATGAGTGTCAGGGCATTTTGGTTACATTCCTAGGTCACATTTCTTCTCCTGGTCATCTTTGTGTGTTTGCCCCGGGAAGTTGTTCGTGATCTTCCCCTGAAGAATATTATTCCACTCTTGCAGGATCCTTGCCTCTTCCTGAAGGGCGACTTCCTCATCTTGTAGAGCCCAGTGCTCTTCTCTCAGTGCCTTGTTCTCTTCCCGAAGAGCCTGCTCTTCCTTCCACAAAGCCTGCTCTTCCTTCTCCAGAGCAGCTCCCTCCTTTGTCAAGGCCTCCTGCAGCTCCCCTGCCACTCCAGTCCTCATGAGGGCTTTTTCTTCCATTCTGAGAGCCCTCTCCTGGTGCTGGAGAGCCTTGGTCTCTTCACGCAGGGACTTGATCTCCTCATGCAGAGCCTTAGTCTCATTCTGGAAGGCTTTCTCTTGCTGCCTGAGAGCTGTGATCTGAGCCTCCATGGCTCGATTCTGTTGCCAGTAAGACTTTCTTTCTGAGTTCGAGGCATTGAGCTCTTCGGCTGAGAGTTTTTGGTTCTCTAAAATCAACTTCTTCACCTTCCGGAGTAGCTGGTTCTGTTGCCTTAAGATATGATTCCTTTCCCTGATGAATTGGTTGTCCATCCGAAATGTTTTATTTTCTCTTCCTAAGGCTTTGTTTTCCCCCCATAGGAATTTGTTGTCTTTTCTCAGAGCCTTGTTTTCATCTCTCAATGCCTTATTTTCTCTACACAGGTTTTTTTCCAGCTCATGAGATTTATGCTTGCGTTTCCTTTGATCTCGGGTACAAGAGAAACAAGAAAACAATCGCCGTATTTTCCCTTTATGTATTTGTTTGGATCTAGAGACATCCATTGCTTGTCTGTTCTCTACTGATAATCGCAAGAGAAAATGTCCTAAATCTGTTCATGTAATCTTGGCTGTCTGTTAACTTCTTAGTAATACAGTAGGTATCTTTTTAAAGCTCAGCCAGGCGCGCTAGAGGAGAGAAAATCAAAATAGAAATAAAAGTAGATTTACTATTAGGTTGATATCACAAAATTTGGAGATAAATCTGAACCCATATAAATTAGAACTTAATTTATTCTACACAAGACATTAAATTTATCAAGAATAGTCGATTGAATTATCTGTTTCACAAGCTATGTTTTTAAACCAGTATTAGTGCTTTATGTTATTATCTATTAACTATATCAATTCATTGGCTTTAAATTTGGTGCCTGCTAATATGGAAGCTTACTACTACTTCAAGAATGTTTCTAACTATTTGCAGAACTTCTAGTTGAAATAAAAGAAAAAGAAAGACCATGGAGAAGACATTGAAGATATTTTAAGGCAATATAAGCAAATAATTAGAACATTTAGTTGGCTTTCTAAAAGAGGTAAAAATTTGAGCAACCAGCCTTACTTACATTGCTGTGTTCTCTAGGTCAGTTGCAAGTCTGCTTTGCGGTGGTAAAAGAAAACAAATAATCAACATTTGTGTCATCTATAGTGATGTCACTTAGTGCTAACACTAGTGATATCATAGGCTACATATGTTGTCTTTGGCTTTTTAAGGCATGTATTTTAGGAAAATTAGGAAGGTTATATTTGATATATTTATTACTGATAAATTAATGTATATAGTGCTAACTTAAATGTAAATCATTAATGTAAATCATTAAAACTGATTTTGAACTAATGCTTTTCATAGTAAAGCATTTTATTATTGGCAAGTATTTGTATTATATTATTAACAAATAAACAATTTCAATAGTTAACAATATGTTTTAAAAAGTTAAACCATAGTTGAATAATCTGAGTGAGGTAAATTTGTGTGTTAAATAAGTTGGCATGTTAATATTTTTGTTCAAGAAATGCTACCCAACACATATTATATGTTGTCATAGAATGATTTTATTAATTTATATTATTTCTTTTATAGTATTTTATAGCTGAATTTTAAGTGATAAAGAGCATCATGTAACTATTTTATATAACAGAGATACTTTTTTAACCTTTATGAATTTCTCATTGTATTTGTATTTAAACCTGAAATCTTTATATGAAACACAATAAGCCTAAACTACCTTATTCACAATTGATTAAAGGTTTGCCAAATAATTTATCTTACTAGGTTAACACGGTTGAAACATTTTTACCTGTGATTTTTTTAAACTATCCAGTTTAATTCACATAGAATATGGAAACCATAAAACTATGGACTAGAATATGCTGTAAAACTAAAAGAACACATGTGATTATGGCAGTATGAAGAACCTATCAGGCTGTCATTGTCAGTAACTTAACTGAGACTGAGTAACTTCACTGAGAATGTGTTTGATTGAAACCTGTGGTAGCTTTTCCTTTGGATCTGTTTCTGTCTGTGTTCTTGGCAGTTGTGGATTCAGAAAGAGTTTTCCGAAGAAAACAATGTCTAAACTTTTAGGACAAACAGAAAAAACTAAAATACAATTACTCTTTTTTTTTTGATCTACTGAACAAACTGAATTTGAATTCTGGAAGAATTTGGTTTTATTTACTAATTCAATCTTTATTAACATTTTAGAGGTTCCTCATGCTTTTATTAATATGTACAATAAGGGATGATGAAACAAAGTTAATATACATACATAAACATTCAGTAAATAAATCACCCTAATAGTTTATCAGATCTTGCAGCTGACAAAAACTTATCTGTAATCAACTCTGACAAGAGTATTATAACAATGGTAACTGCAAGCTAATGTACCTTATGTACTACAGATGCAAATATGTCAATGGATTGACATATATTTAATAATGAAACATAAATCACCACAATATATTAGAAACTGTTCTATTATTAAATTATTTGTAAGAAGATCATTTAGCAGGCTTATGAGACATCCTGTCAATCAGCAAATCATAATAAACCTCACATAGAGTAACTCCAAATTATTTTATATGAAGATACACACACACACACACACACACACAGACACACACACACACACACACATATGGATGTTTATGCATCTATAATATAAATGAATTGAAAATTAGGTTGAAGGAAAGTACTGAAACACATTATACTTAGTTATGTTACCCACAAAAAAACAAACATCAAATGGTTGCACACATATGAGGATGTAAGTAGACCCTTTAGATTTGTGTGCTTAATTTGCAATAGCTATGTAATTTGAAAACTAGAAAGGACCATTGACAAAGAGGCATAAAGACAGAACTTGAGTGGTTGGCATAGTAAAATATTGTAACATGCGAGGAAGGGGACTAATAGGAGAGGAAGTCTAAGTGACGAAAGTGCTAGGAGTGTAGGGCAGAGGAAGCAGTAGGAGGAAGGTTAATACTAAGGATGCTTAAAAGGCATGTGGGCAACCTACCAATGCATGTCGTTCATATGTACACATTCACACACACAAACACACACACACACACACACACACACAGAGAGAGAGAGAGAGAGGGAGAGAGGAAATCACGTCAGAGAGATACAGAGAGAGAGTGATAGAGAAAAAGGATAGAGATAGAGATGAAGAGGGAAGGAGAGAGCAGTGAGAACAGGACAGACCTATTCATTTCAAGGCTTACTATAAATGAGAACACATTACTTCAGTTGCACTGCCATTGTTTGTCCTTCACCTTACTTTACAAAATAAACTTTCGATGTTTTTCAAAATTAATAATTCTATTTTGACAAATATATTATTTCTGATCTCTGCAGATCAATTATAAATTTCTGAATCTCTAATCTTTGACAAAAATCTGTTTTGTTCTAAATTCCTTTCTGTTGTGTTATAAAACACTCTAATCAAAATTTACACAGATGAGGAAAAGGTTCATGTGACTAATGCTTCCTTCCCTGTGTTGTCCATCACTAAGGGATATCAGAGCAGTAACTCAAGCAGGAACTTGAAGAAGAAAGCATAAAGGAAGCAGCTTTCTGTCTTGCTGTTATATTCATGTTTCTTTTTCTTAGAATAAATGGTGTTGCTCAGAGTGGGCTGGACCATCCTCTATGAATGAATAGTCGAGACAATCTGCCACAGATATGCCGACAGGCCAGTATGAACTGGAGTAATCCCTCAATTGAAAGTACCTTCTCAGGTGACCCCAAGTCTCCTGAACTCCTCCCACCCTTACTAACCTGTCTATTAGGATTTCCTCCCTCAGGTCACATTTAGGCACTAACCTGCTAACTCTTCAAGGGTGTAGCTGCTGACATTTCTAGAAAATGTAATCTCACAGCAAATTCAATTTAAAGTGAAGGCCCACATGATGTTTGAAGTATCCATAAAATTGACCTTTCCCAAATATTGGCAGAAAGTTCAGAAAAATGTATTTTAGAGATTATAAGGGACTAATGTTCATTTTCTTTCTTTTTTTTTTTTTGCCTAAAGCTAAATCTTTATTTCATCTATATTTGCTTAGAAAATGCTGAGCTTGTGAAGTAAGCAGTTAAAGAATGCATGTAAATGCCACCTGTGCCAGCTTCAGGTACAAGTGGTAAGTTGCTGGGTCATGAGTAATCTACCCTTTGCAGGAGGCAGCCTGCAGTCTTCACAACTTTTGCTTGCTAAGCTCCCAACAGTTGGTTCTTGCTTCTCAGATCTCAGCTGGGTTCTGACAGTAGCTGAGACAGACAAGTAGTCTGTAGAGCACTGAAATGCCTCACATGGCTCCTTGTAAGCATTTCTAAGGTCCATGTGACTGTCAAGTGGATGACCTGTGTTTCTCTTGGCAGAATAAGCATCTTTGTTTAAGTTTCTGAAATCCCATAATGTTCACTAAGACATCTCTTCTAAGCCTCAAGACACAGTCACACATAAAAATATTATTGAACACACCAGAACCACAAACGAAAACCTAAGACACAATTCCAAACCTTCTATCTACAGGTAGAGCCAAAGTTGTTGCTACAGATTATGCTTGCCATATGGATGAGATTATACAACCAGTACATCATCTTAAACCATCTCTGAGTTTAAGGGGACAAAATTGCAAATGTCAAAATGACACACAGTATCTGCATAACATGTAATCAGAATGTTAATGGGTACTACCTAGTACAGTCTACAAAAGCAATAGACTGTACACCTTTGATACAGATCACTCCATTTTTCTAGTGGAATGGCTAACTTCCTTCAAGAAAAGCACGTAGACTGAGGAGTATTATAACACATGTGGATAAGAAACTCTTTAGAACCATGTCCTTGGGGGAAATGACTGATGGAATTGTATTCAACCCCTGGAATGAGTGCCCTGTTCTACAAGAGTCACTATTAACAGCACTAAGGTACTCCTAAGAGGCTTAGTGTGAGAAAGAAAACCATTTGGCATTGTTTTAATGTTTCCACGGGACAATCAACAGCAGCCTTTCATTGTGCTGTATGTTTGGAAAAGTTAACACTGACAGAGGCTGTGAAGAAAAGGCAATACATGTTCCAAAGAAATAATCACTTTCAACCCCAGGCCCCGTGACTGTCTTTCAAACAGCCAAAATGAAACCAGTAACTACTAAAACCAGCCACTTAATTTTTACTTATGTTCAAAGGACCATTTCCTAAAGTTAATGAAAACAAAATACAATCACAATGATGGCTTGCTTAAGTGATGATCTAATTACTTTATAGAAAATTACCTTTCTTCCTTAAAACAGTGTGAAGCTGCCAAACTCACTGTTGTACTGAGGAGCCTTGTGCTATTTGGCTTCTGGGCTCCATCTGTGCCTGCCTGCATCTGCTTTTATCCCCCTCAAACGTCTCTCAAAAGGAGCACAGAGAATCTGCAATTCATGTCAGGGCACCCAGCCAGATTAGAAGCTGCCAACAACATCAGGTTTTGTGAGAAGAATTAAGTTACTTAAGCATTCT